TCATGATTTTTTCCCGTGGATTTTCAGCTTCATCCTATCGGTTGATGGCGTCCTCCAGCTCGATACGATCAATAACCATTGCTTTGTTGTTTCATGATCTACGTTCAATGTAGTTTCTGCTGTTGTTCCTGCCGTTGTTGTTACTTTTGTCTGTGATATTTCTTACACTGTTGTTGTTGTTGTTGTTGTTGTTGTTGCTGCTGCTGTTGCTTTGATAGTTCGGTGCTTCTATTCCGGCTTTGAAAAAAGCAAATGTCGGTATTAATGACTATGTATTATGATCATTGTTACTATTTATTATTGTTATCAATCATAACATTTGTTTGTCGTCATTGTCTAGTGAGGAAGAAGTTGTTGCTGCTGCTGCACATAGTGTTCTTTATATAGCTTGCTATTATTACGTCATTAGCGCCTTTAGGTTTGATTGAGGGTGGTAGGTATGGTATATTTGGAATCAATGGCCTTTCACAGTCTTGTATATAGGTTAAATAAATAAACTTATACCGCTGTTACTTTATTGCTATCATGTCGTATTTAACGGTGTTGGTTGTAAGATTGTTGCATGGTTGCCTTAGTATTTGTTACTCTCTAGTTCCCTATGATCAGTATATATATATACGCCGTTATACGATTAGGGTACAACATAAGCGGTTGTCTCTAAAAAAAGAAAAATGAATAATCTCACAATTGATTTCTTGTCGTTAACTGTTGCGCTCTCCATATCGTTATCGTAACAATAATATAAGTAAAAGGAATTCATATAGTTACTTTTCTCATCATAGATCCGTGTTTGTTGAGAAGTTGCTTGCCAAATGTCTGTGCCACATACTAGATAATACACAAAAACTCTGTCCGCTAATCTCTCAATCGGTCAAGCATTTTCATTAATCCATCACCAATATTATTGTTATTGTTAGTCGTCATCATCGTTATTTAACATTTTTTTATCGATCATGAAATTCAAAATACCACCGCGCGAACTGGATGCAATGACCGGCGCTCACGGTAAGCTCACTTGCGGACCCTCCACACCCCTCGACTGGAGCCCAACTTGCCATATCATTGAAGAAATAAATAGTGGAATCGCATACTGACCCAGGCAGCGAGGCACACGGACAGACCCCGATGTATATGGGAGACGTTTCTATCGAACGGTCCGCGACTTCGTGTTTGAGTCTTTTTGTGAGACCTTTTTGCGCGTTGTCGGAGCGGCGGGGCCGTCTGCACAGAGTGCCGGACCGCATACGCGAGCGTCAGTCGCGCGGAAGCCGACGACCCGGCGAGACTCGCATATATTAGCGTTCACAACGAAGTCTACGTCGGCGTCAGGGCGGGTTAGAGGCGGCGGGGAGCGCAAGAGGACCATCAAGAGCTACTCGGGGACTGCACATCCTAATTCGACGATCCTTCAAAATTAGCGCCGCTCAAAAACTGGTGAGAGGGAAACATAGGTGAGGGAGCACAAATGCGTAAAATATAAAAAAAAAAAACCTACGAAAAACATTTTATAATTACTATTATCGTTATTAAGCAATCAAAAAAAAAAAAAAAAAAAAAAAAGTAGCACGAACCCTGCGCTTCGAATAAAACCACTAAACCAATTGTCGAGATGAGGGTTTCGCGAGCAAGGAAGTCAGCACACGTTGGTCGTCGACAGGAAACAATACTTGTTGCAATAATAATAATAATACTTGTAATAATATTCATAATTGTCATTATTATTATCAACAATTATTATCATTGTTATTGCCGAAGCAAGACAAAAGTACAGAAAGCTGCTATAATTTTGTTTTTTTTTCTTTTCTGTCGTCTTGGAAGCTGCCGCTGTCGTCTTGGTTTGTTGATTTGTACAGAAATGGTTTCATAGGAGTGTTCTTTTCGGCCGCAAGAGCATTGTGAATGATGGCTGTTGAAGGCCGCGGAATCGCTACGGGCGTAATATGTTAACATCATTTGTTCGACGTGCTTGTCAGCGATTCCTTGCCCTTAGCAATCAAAATGTCACACTTGGCCATATTGGCTGGACAGCCGCAGCGGCAGTGCTGCCAAAAATGGTACCAGGAGCGCCATCATATCGGCATTGTTAATTACAATCAGCATTGGGTATGTTTTTGTAACTGTACATTGAATTGGCGGTTTCGGAGCACGCGGCAGCGACCGGCTTGGAAATTGTTACAAGCCCCAGGCAAAGGCCCCATCGTCAACGTGACTCGAATTTCCCGTATCTGCTTACTTAACTGTTGCGACCACCAGCTTTGAACACAACAAAACGCATATTATTCTGAGTATTTGGGGGTTGGGGGTTGGGGGGGGACTAGCCGGCGGAGTTAGCCGGAAACGTCGTGCCATTGTTCCTCTCCTGCAAGTATTGTTCATTACCTTTTCCTTTTTACAAAATCAATAAAAATAAAATACAAACTCAGCCATTAGTTACTTTTAGTAAGTCGAAAGCGAGGGAACGCAAAAAAATTACTGCAATGACAGCGTTCGCGTAAACACGATGTATCACCTATACAAAATCACATGGTATCGTAATACATTAATCATCGTCGTTTTTTTCATTATCGTTACGTGACAGTGTAGTAAACGTAAAAGGAACAATATAAGCGAAGGGTGAACATATTGAAGTTGTTAAAACTGGAATCCCAAGTATTGGTGCTAACTATCGATAATCATGTAAATTTTACAAGCTTATTGATAATAACAAAAATCATATTTACGTCCTTGTTACCACACGCACTATCGGTGCTTGATTATTAATGCTAATTATTTATACTTAAATCTATTTAGGGCAAAGCCAGGTTAGGCTGAACGCTGTTTTCATGGAAGCTGTTCTTCAATTCCTTTCCATAGGAGAAGTTTAGCGCAGGAAGACCATGGTGTAGTACTCGAACTGGGAAAACGGTTTCCTTTCCGTTATTATTTATCAAAAGTGTACGCGTTGTTTTTCATTCGTCTGTTTGACTGCCATGTTTCAGCGTGTTGTTGATCATGCACCAATAAAATTTCGAATATATTGTGATGGCTTGTGTTACTATGATTCTGCGGGCTGAGGTGCCTTCATTTTAATATGTCTGATTCCCTCTCTCTCCCCCTCTCTCTCTCTCCCTCTCTCTCTCTCCCTCTCTTTGCGTATGCACATATGTGTGTGTGTGTGTGTGGATGTGTCTTTCTGTATGTGCGCGTGTATTTGTATGAGCGCATGTGTGTGTTATGGTAGATTGAGGAACCTGCGCTTCTTCAGCGCCGTATTTCTACGTCCTGTTCTCTTCACCCATAGAGTAGTGGTACACGATACGTGAGTGAAGTCTGTGAAAACTAGTTCTTCTTATGTGATTTCTTCATATCGCATGTGAGTCCTACAATTGGCTTTCTATTTTATTCTCTAGTCGAAATTCAGAGCATAATTATGCAACATGTATGTTGTTGTTGTTGACACTACTTAGTTTTGTTGCTGATAATAAAGAGATTATAGACTGTAGATTATATCGATGTCTGAATCGTGTCATCATTATGAAGCATTTATCTAGTCGTGTGTGTATATATATATATATATATATATCGAAAGATATAAGTGCTTATAACTAAGACAAGTGCAGCTCGACTACGATCATGAAATTCAGCGGCCGGCCTCTAACGAGCGAACCCGTCCCATATCGCTGGCTGTGTTAGTTTTCTTTGTCTGAATATAATTGATTCATTATCTGGTATCGTGACACTGCAATGACTGGACTTCCTTCGGGCCTGCATACAGATACCACCACGACAGGATGCACATTATAATCGCATAATAATTATTAATGTAATTCTTACTTCACGATTATATCCAATTAGTGCATTAGTTGAGTAACTTTTTCCGTTAAACTGCACAGACCTGCTCGGACGGTGATCGTGCGCTGCGAACGATGACCATGCTAGTGGTAGGCACTCCATTGCTTGCACCCCTCTGGGTCTGCCGTATAATAGCGATACGCTTTACATTTTTCCTTGCCAATTGAGTTGGGGTGACCTGCTTTTTAACTAGTATGTTACCGACCTAGCGCCTGACTGTGGTAACTCTGACTCGCCGGACATCTGTCGCAACATAATAAAGCCCTCATTTTCTCCTTCTCTATCTTCCCTACATTTTCATTTTTTATCGCAAAGATGTGTGGAATCGCATATACGTTTTCAACGAATTGATCTTATGTCGACTCCAGTCAACGGGCTGGTGACAAATGCGCTTCCGACTGCTACTGACTCGTACGATGCGGACGAACTTATCTACCTGTTAGCTGGTTTATTTGCCTATTGCTCTATCTCCCTGTTAGTTTCAATCAGTCACAGTAGCCGTAATCGTACGCGAATGATGCGGAAGCTTGTATGTCGGGCAGTCTTAATTTTTGTATTAAGTTAACGTGATGATATCGCCAATATTGCTCGTACCATAAATATATAGAAGTGATCCATCGTGTAGGTCCATAAAAATGTGTTTATGTAACAGCTACTCGATCTTTTGCTGCTCCTACCTAACCATTAATACCGCTTTGTTAACGCTGCTTGCCGGCGAGCAAGCTCCTCTCCACAGCTTTACAAGTCCTCGATGACCGCAAGTTAAATAACTGGCCAATACGGCGATACATGGTACGAGGATTGAGTAATGAAACACGCCGGGGGGGGGGGGGAGGAGGAGGAGAGGAGGGGAGGGGGTTACCCTACGCGGCACTCTCAATGCGTTGTTGTTCTCTATTCTCATAGCGGCCCTCCAATAACTCCCTCCTTTTGCAACTTTTGCGAGATCGTTAGAATAAGCATAAATGTGTATATATACTTTTTTACAGCCTAATATATACGTATGGTGATATATGAATGTGTGTCAGCTTATAGTAAATCATCAAGCTATACAATAT